GTGCTCCCGAAGTATGCGAACCAAGATGGCGGACATCGGAAAGTAACATGGGTAACAGGTTAGGGTTAGGCGATAATTTTTTTCCAAGTTTCCTTATTTTAGTCCTATTATTAGTTCGAAGACTAGCCAAGAGCCTCCCGTAGTATTTATACCTAAATACGTAAAATTATGGCCTAACCCTAACTTAGTACATATAGTACATTCCGATGTTCGCCATCTTGGTTCGCATACTTCGGGAGCCTCCTTTTATTTTTAAATTTAATATCAACCTAAATTTAAAACGTTTATTGTTAATGATACGGCAGTAAATAAGGAAGTCTAAACTTGGGGAAAATCCATAATTATAATTAGAGTTTATATAGTTGTTATAGCTAAATTCGGTACACAGACGCGATGCTTATATTTATGGTAAATTTAAATTATTTTGCGACCCAGCATGGAGAGCTCCGCGGCCAAAACTTGGGTCGCGACCACGTATTTGAGGACCCCTGCTTTTAATTACCAGGATTATGTGCGCCAGACTGATAATATTTTTCTAGACAAAAACATGTCCACATAAGCCGAACACAATAATGCAACACGCTACTTGGGTAAATTTTAGTTTCAAATAGCCCATTTCCTATGATATAGAATCATGTAAAATATAAGCCACGCGGGAATATAAAAAAAAATTACATATGTATATCATCTATGTCTATATTAACCTGCGGGTTGAATGAACAAACCTAAGTACAAAGGGATAACTTTTGAATCAGATAGTAGGTATTTAATTCGAAATAGAATATTTAAGTATTTCTCTTATTAATATACTTTGAATAAAATAGTAAAAAATGGGCTACACTTTCTTGTACAGAGCAAGTATCGCATTCACTATCTGGATGACAGCCTGCTTTAAAAAGATGGTGGGAGTCTAATTATTTTGCGACCCTGCGTGGAGAGCTCCGCGGCCAAAACTTGGGTCGCGACCACGTATTTGAGGACCCCTGCTTTTAATTACCAGGATTAGATGGCTTTGCCAACTGCCCTTCAATTCAGCGTATAGTCCCAAGGTTGAGCTTATCTTATCTGCAACTTAATGAAGTTTTAGAAAACTGTCATTCCCAACGAGAAACCATCAATAGCCCAATTAGTAACACATTTTTAAACTGCCAATTATGGTTATTGTTTACCATTTGAGATTCCAGCCTACATATACGAATGCCGTCAATCATGTTTTGTCGACGTACGATTGAATCATCTCATTGGCATACACGACCAGTATACCCCATGGAAGTTGGTCGCAAGATAGTAAAGTTCAGTGTAGCGATCGGGAAACGAGATTTTTGGATAATAAAGAAAGGTACCGTTTTTGGCGAGCGAGATGAAAAAGATGTTACCGTTTAAATAGACATTTTGATCGTGGTTTGGCCGGCTTTTCTTTTTCAATTCGTTCGATACAGCCCGGCTTTTCTATTTCAATTCGTTCGATACAGCAACCGGCTTTTCTATTTCAATTCGTTCGATACAGCAACCGGCTTTCTATTTCAATTCGTTCGATGCAACAATGCTGATTCATCACCGACTTGGTTTTCACGATTGAATGACCGTGTTTTACATGAATAATCAGTGTAAGAACGGTCTCGAATAATCGAGAAAATTGTGTATCCCTTTAAATGCGATCTCAAACATTTCATTCGTTCGTCATCCTTATCGTCAAATATCAATAATTCTGATGATCGCTACGCTACTGTTATGAATAATAACTTGAAATTATTCATCACCAGAAGTCGTCTCGCTGATGACGCCGAATATCGAGATTATTATGGATTTTACTTAACAACCGTTAGTAAGTCTTTATATCTTATTACTTAGTATTGTTTTGTACGTTTTTTAATTTTGTCTTCTGTCATACTTATTGTAATTATGTACCTGTTATTGTTTTGGTGGTTTAATTTTGTTATGGTAATTTTGTAACTGGTATTGCTTAGTGGGGTTTGGTCTATATTGGATAGATATTACGTAAGTTAAATTAGGGGGAATCATTATAAATTACCACATATTACCCCACAAATGTCAAAAGGTCGATTTGTTGACGAAAACGACCCACAATTCGGACTTCAAGATTTGGATATTTCTGAAACTAATTCAGTTAAATACGAAATAATTAATAAAGTGCATTGGCAAAGTTTTTTCTCCAATAGAAATAAAACCAGCTCTATTCCGAATAATAAAGATACCAGTGCGTATCCCTACCTAATAGACATGTTTAGAAACGTACTTCATCATGTTGTTTAATTTTAAGTTTTTTTTATATTCACTCTTTTTATTATTCACTCTATTTCTAAGATATAGTACTTTTCCATTTGTATATTTATGATGTTACAATTTGGCTTTCAATTTTGATGAATTAAGGGTAGAAGAATTTGAATGTTTAACTTTAAATGACTTTCGAGAGATTTATAATAACTGAAAGCTTGGCGGGAATTAACAAACCCCTTTTGATTGGATAGATTTCGTTATTACTAAAATGCCCTTGAAAGTAAATTCAGTGATTGAATGAGCTCCACGCTCGACTTAACAAAAATTAGACGAAATACGTTATATTCTCCGAAAAAGCCCGAAGCTGGCATAACAAAACAAAAAAAAATGCGCTACTTCAACCCGACATGGGGCAAATATAGACCAACTAGGTTGCAAAATTGCATCAATGCGCTATTTCAGCTCGACATGGGGCAAATATAGACCAACTAGGTCGCAAAATTGCAACAATGCGCTATTTCAACCCGACATGGGTAAATACAGACCAACTAGGTCAAAAAAATTGTAACAATGCGCCCAGAGGCACCTATGAGGATGACCAAATGGGGTCTAAAGGATCTTTTTCAGATGAAAAAGTCAAGCTGGTAACGCGCAAACATTGACACGTAACAGAGAAAGGAGCTCAGTCGAGCAGCCAACTAGGCTTATGATTTGATCTAAACACCAAGAAAATATTGAAGTGCCCAATTTCCACCAAATGGAGTGGCAATTTTTCGTCAATTCAACGTCTATTTTTCGCCAGTTTTTCGATTTATTTTTTCGTTGGTTTACTGTGTCATACGTAATCAAGAAAATATTGCAGTACTAGTTTCCCACCATTTTTATGTCTCATTCTCGCCTTTTTTGTTCGACCGACTTTCAGTGTCTTATATATTTTTGCCGTAGTTTTCTCGTAATTTTCAGTGTCTTATATATATATTCGCCTAATTTTTAATGTTTCATTCTTGCCCATTTTTATTGCAGTGCCCACTTCCCCGCCACCGTAATTTCTCCATTTTTTGCCTATTTGTTGTTCAAAATACAGTCCGGTTAGTATAAACAAAGTTTTCACAAAAGTTATCTTAATTCTTTCTGCAGTTTATTGAATTTATGAGATTAATAGGAAATATCACGGTACCGATGTCTCAAAATTAATTTTATTGTTGCATTCTTTTATTGGTTTTACAACGCTCGTCTATTTGTTGTATTTTTCAAATTTCATGACAAATTATTGTGTTTTACATCTAAATCTTCCCCCCCCCCCCATTATTATCAATGTAACTTCTGCTGTCTTTGCTTTCTTATTAAGCGAATTAGATAAGTATCTGACTCCAAAAACAGAATATATAGTAGGTTACGTGTTCAAATTGAGATATCTGTTAATTTTATATAACAGTAAGGATCTGACCAATTTGCCTGTAAAGATTTTTATTTCCACGGATAATATATCACAATAAATTTACTTACAATAAAACACACTCACAATCGTGAAAACCAAGTCGGTGATGAATCAGCATTGTTGCATCGAACGAATTGAAATAGAAAAGCCGGTTGCTGTATCGAACGAATTGAAATAGAAAAGCCGGTTGCTGTATCGAACGAATTGAAATAGAAAAGCCGGTTGCTGTATCGAACGAATTGAAAAAGAAAAGCCGGGCTGTATCGAACGAATTGAAAAAGAAAAGCCGGCCAAACCACGATCAAAATGTCTATTTAAACGGTAACATCTTTTTCATCTCGCTCGCCAAAAACGGTACCTTTCTTTATTATCCAAAAATCTCGTTTCCCACGGAGCAATTTTTGCTCATATCTAGAATGTTCGGTACCCTTCTTACAATAATTACACTTGTTTATAGGTTACCTGACATGGGAAATATCCATTTTCTCATACACGAGAAAGATCTAGACTCAATATTTCGAATGATCTAGAAAGATCTCTTCAATATTTCGGTTGTTTATAGGTCACCCGACATGGGAAAATATCCATTTTCTCATACACGAGAAAGACTAGAAAGATCTCTTCAATATTTCGATTACGTCAATTATAATATAGAATTTGACTTCCATTATCCAAATTATTGGTTAATTTGTTACACATTCCTGGCACCACAAGTGAAATATTTTAAAAGCACATATTAAAAATTAACCGATAATTGTAGAAATATAAGAATGAAATCGAAATTATCATGACAGTAATCAAATCTCGTAACTTTTGAAGATGGCAATTTGAAATGTCAAAGTAATTTGTTTGAAAACTGTCGATGAAGAGCAAAACATCCACTACGAAGAGCAAAAAAAATGGTCGAGTGTAATTAATCAATAAGACATAAGACTCAGAAACGACAAGACAAATTCCTTAATTTTGGTTATTTAAAATGGCAATTGAAAGATTTATATACAAGAAGAAAAACATGAAATTTGAGCACTAATTATACATGCAAGAATTAAAAACATACAACTTAAGAACTCATTGTAGCCCCATTTATTATGATTCTGACTTGGGGTCTTTTCAAATTATAAGGATGAGACATTTGTATTGTGAAAGGCATTTGAATTGTGCAATTCAGTGAAACAGTAATGGTATTATTATACCTTCTTCTCACCTACACGACTTTCAAAATTGTGAGCATTTGTTTAGTGTACGATTTACTATTAGATAAATTAGGCGATAATGACTTTGGAAAATGAAGAAAAGATGGTTTATTGATTCCCAAAAACAAAAAAAATCTTACAATATGACTGTATTGTAGGTCTTTACGTTATCAGTGTTAAACCTTATTAAACATAAGGCTTTTTGGTAGGTCGTTACGTTTCAGTGATTGCAACTAGGTAGGTCTTTACGTTTCAGTGATTGCAACTAGTATTGTTACTACTCATTCTACATTTAATTGTCTGTACCATTTGCAATAAAAATGGGGGGGGGGGGGGGAAGATACATAAGGCTTTTTGGTAGGTCGTTACGTTTCAGTGATTGCAACTAGGTAGGTCTTTACGTTTCAGTGATTGCAACTAGTATTGTTACTACTCATTCTACATTTAATTGTCTGTACCATTTGCATCTGACTCCAGATCAGAAGGTTGCGTGTTCAGATCACGTCGGGGTCACCAATGTAACTTCTGCTGTCTTTGCTTTCTTATTAAGCGAATTAGATAAGTATCTGACTCCAAAAACAGAATATATAGTAGGTTACGTGTTCAAATTGAGATATCTGTTAATTTTATATAACAGTAAGGATCTGACCAATTTGCCTGTAAAGATTTTTATTTCCACGGATAATATATCACAATAAATTTACTTACAATAAAACACACTCACAATCGTGAAAACCAAGTCGGTGATGAATCAGCATTGTTGCATCGAACGAATTGAAATAGAAAAGCCGGTTGCTGTATCGAACGAATTGAAATAGAAAAGCCGGTTGCTGTATCGAACGAATTGAAATAGAAAAGCCGGTTGCTGTATCGAACGAATTGAAAAAGAAAAGCCGGGCTGTATCGAACGAATTGAAAAAGAAAAGCCGGCCAAACCACGATCAAAATGTCTATTTAAACGGTAACATCTTTTTCATCTCGCTCGCCAAAAACGGTACCTTTCTTTATTATCCAAAAATCTCGTTTCCCACGGAGCAATTTTTGCTCATATCTAGAATGTTCGGTACCCTTCTTACAATAATTACACTTTTTATAGGTTACCTGACATGGAAATATCCATTTTCTCATACACGAGAAAGATCTAGACTCAATATTTCGAATGATCTAGAAAGATCTCTTCAATATTTCGGTTGTTTATAGGTCACCGACATGGGAAAATATCCATTTTCTCATACACGAGAAAGACTAAAGATCTCTTCAATATTTCGATTACGTCAATTATAATATAGAATTGACTTCCATTATCCAAATTATTGGTTAATTTGTTACACATTCCTGGCACCACAAGTGAAATATTTAAAAACATATTAAAAATTAACCGATAATTGTAGAAATATAAGAATGAAATCGAAATTATCATGACAGTAATCAAATCTCGTAACTTTTGAAGATGGCAATTTGAAATGTCAAAGTAATTTGTTTGAAAACTGTCGGATGAAGAGCAAAACATCCACTACGAAGAGCAAGAAAAAATGGTCGAGTGTAATTAATCAATAAGACATAAGACTCAGAAACGACAAGACAAATTCCTTAATTTTGGTTATTTAAAATGGCAATTGAAAGATTTTACTATACTATAAGATTTTACTCTTTACTATAAGATAGTAAAGTTCAGTGTAGCGATCGGGTCGTGCGTAAAGCGCCGTTAGGTCAGGTACTAAATAGTATAGCGCCGTAGGTCAAAGATAGGTAAGTTGTGGTAAATAGGGCAGTGGGTCGAGAAGAAAAGGGTTGAGGGGGATAGTGCGGTGGTTCGAGGATAGGAAGGTTTAAGAAGCTAAAGAAGTGAGTCAAGGATAGGAAAGTTGAGGATAGGAAGGTTGAGGGAGATAGGGCAGTGGGTCGAGGATGGGAAGATAGGGCAGTGAGTCGAGGGTAGGAATGTTGAGGGAGATAGGGCAGTGAGTCGAGATAGGGAGATAGCGTAGGTCGAGTATAAGAATGTTGAGGAGGATAGCGTAGTGGGTCGAGATGGGAAGGTTGAGGGCAAAAGGGCAGTCGGTCGAGGATAGAAGTAGATGGAGATAGGGCAGTGGTCACGGACAGTTTTCAAGTAAACGAATAGCTCGCGGAGCCCAAAGTGTCTTTAACAGAGTCCTGAAGCTCCGTACGAGCACTTTGAGAACCTAAAGTCTACGTAGTAGGATATAACAATGCAAAAACTAAGTAACGAATTTTCCCCAACTTTTGATCTCTTGAATTCTTCCTTTTTACACTCTACCATTGCAAAATTATTGGTACTTATTTCAAGAATGGTTTGGCGAGTTTAGGACTTATATTTACCAAACATAACTAAAATCTAACAATAACACGCGAAAACCGACAAAACGAGGTAATATTCACAATCGTGAAAATCTGTCTGAATGACTAAATCAGTGGTCGGCAACCACCGGCCGCGCCCATCGCGAACCGCGAAAAGCTTACTACCGGTCCGCAGAAACTTGACGCAAAAGACGGAAAATGTCCTAATAACATCTTTAGTTGATTAAAATTTCAAACATAATGAGTTGAAAAGAGTCTTTGCGATTTATAGGGTAGCTACTTTGGCAATCTTTTGGGCAATACTGCTATCTGAATACCCCGGGATTGCAAAAAAAGCTTCTACAGGCATTTTTATTTTTACATTTATGTGAGATCGGGTTTTCAAAATTGACAACTACAAAATCGCAGTAGGCTATAAGTAAAAATACGTTACTTGAATAACATCACTTTTATTGGAGCTCCCGAAGTATGCGAACCAAGATGGCGGACATCGGAAAGTAACATGGAACAGGTTAGGGTTAGGCGATAATTTTTTTCCAAGTTTCCTTATTTTAGTCCTATTATTAGTTCGAAGACTAGCCAAGAGCCTCCCGTAGTATTTATACCTAAATACGTAAAATTATGGCCTAACCTAGTACACATAGTACATTCCGATGTTCCCATCTTGTTCGCATACTTCGGGAGCCCCTTTTATTTTTAAATTTAATATCAACCTAAATTTAAAACGTTTATTTTACGTCAATTCTGCACTTATGCTGATTGGCCAATACGCAGTAAATAAGGAAGTCTAAACTGGGGAAAAATCCATAATTATATAGAGTTTATATATAGTTGTTATATAGCATAAGTATCGGTACACACAGACGCGACTTATATTTATGGTAAATTTATGCGAACCGATATTTCACAGCGTGGAGAGCTCCGCGGTCGCCAAACTCTGGACCAGCGACGTATTTGAGACCCCTGCTTTTAATTACCAGGATTATGTGCGCCGAACACTATAAATTTTTCTAACAAAAACAGGTCCACATAGGAAACACAATAATGCAACACGCTACTTGGGTAAATTTTAGTTTCAAAAATAGCCCATTTCCTATGATATAGAATTCATGTAAAATATAAGCCACGCGGGAATATAAAAAAAAATTACATATGTATATCATCTATGTCTATATTAACCTGCGGGTTGAATGAACAAACCTAAGTACAAAGGGATAACTTTTGAATCAGATAGTAGGTATTTAATTCGAAATAGAATATTTAAGTATTTCTCTTATTAATATACTTTGAATAAAATAGTAAAAAATGGGCTACACTTTCTTGTACAGAGCAAGTATCGCATTCACTATCTGGATGACAGCCTGCTTTAAAAAGATGGTGGGAGAGCCTGCAATGTCCAATCTGAAGTCTGAATATAATTGATTAATGATATCGCGTTAGAGAAAAGTTCGGATATAAATCTGCTGTCGGAATGAACATTTTGAAAAGTGCTCCAATGGTCATTACATGTGTAGGAGAACAATATAGTCCAGACAGGCGGCGTCTTGCTGACGCTATAATCCCGATTCGATCGTCAAAATGAACTTTACCATCTTGCGACCAACTTCCATGTGTTATACTGGTCGAGTATGCCAATGAAATGATTCAATCGTACGTCGACAAAACATGATTGACGGCATTCGTATATGTAAGCTGGAATCTCAATTAGTAATCAATAACCATAATTAGTGGTTTAAGAATGTGCTACTAATTGGGCTACTGATGGCGTCGGGCTTGGAATCACCGTTTTTGTAATTTTAAAAGGCCATTCGATATCGACATATCTGAGTTCCTTTTCCGAAACTCATTCAATGTCGCCTGTACTTCCGTGCCAGGCAAAACGATAAGGAAAGAATCAAATATTTGCACGCTTGGTCTTTTTCAACGAACGTTCTGCCATATCCTGCATTTTTTAATCCAACTCAGATAGGTGTATATACAAATTTCTTTTACGTGACTGAGAAGGCTGAAAAGTCAAAATATAAGTCGCTCAGTGTGTGTAATCCCTTCCAAACTATTTTGAAGCCATGAAATGTTTTGTCGTAGATGGCGTTGCCAACTGCCCTTCAATTCAGCGTATAGTCCCAAGATTGAGCTTATTTTATCTGCAACTTAATGAAGTTTTAGAAAACTATCATTCCCAACAAGAAACCATCAATAGCCCAATTAGTAACACATTTTTAAACTGCCAATTATGGTTATTGTTTACCATTTGAGATTCCAGCCTACGTATACGAATGCCGTCAAACATGTTTTGTCGACGTACGATTGAACCATCTCATTGGCATACACGACCAGTATACCCCATGGAAGTTGGTCGCAAGATAGTAAAGTTCAGTGTAGCGATCGGGTCGTGCGTAAAGCGCCGTTAGGTCAGGTACTAAATAGTATAGCGCCGTAGGTCAAGGATAGGTAGATAGGTAAGTTGTGGTAAATAGGGCAGTGGGTCGAGAAGAAAAGGGTTGAGGGAGATAGAGCGGTAGTTCGAGGATAGGAAGGTTTAAGAAGCTAAAGAGGTGAGTCAAGTGTAGGAAAGTTGAGGGAGATAGGGCAGTGGGTCGAGGATAGGAAGGTTGAGGGGAGATAGGGCAGTGAGTCGAGGATGGGAAGATAGGGCAGTGGGTCGAGTATAAGAATGTTGAGGGAGATAGCGTAGTGGGTCGAGGATGGGAAGGTTGAGGGCAAAAGGGCAGTCGGTCGAGGATAGGAAGTAGATGGAGATAGGGCAGTGGGTCACGGACAGTTTTCAAGTAAACGAATAGCTCGCGGAGGCCCAAAGTGTCTTTAACAGAGTCCTGAAGCTCCGTACGAGCACTTTGAGAACCTAAAGTCTACGTAGTAGGATATAACAATGCAAAAAACTAAGTAACGAATGTTTCCCCAACTTTTGATCTCTTGAATTCTTCCTTTTTACACTCTACCATTGCAAAATTATTGGTACTTATTTCAAGAATGGTTTGGCGAGTTTAGGACTTATATTTCCAAAACATAACTAAAATCTAACAAATAACACGCGAAAACCGACAAAACGAGGTAATATTCACAATCGTGAAAATCTGTCTGAATGACTAAATCAGTGGTCGGCAACCACCGGCCGCGGCCCAT